TCAAATAACCAATCGCTATAACCAAAACATGATGAAGAGCATCTCTGAACACATGAGAGAAAAGACCGTAACAGGTGCCGTCACAGGCACATGGGGTATGTAAGCAACAAGAAAAAAGCAAGATTGGAGGCTAATGGTTTTGCTCAGTTTGGTTTTTGCTCTTCCAAAGGTCAGCTTTTAACAGATTGCTTTTGCTACTTACACAGCTTAAAGCCTAAAATTTAAAAAGAGGTTATAGTACACAAGATTCATCCCCCCCAAAGAGCTTGTGCTCATCAGAAAACTAGTAGGTGAAGCAATCACAGCGCACGCGTACCTCAGAACTCAACTCCGGGTACTTCCTGCCTTTACTCTTTCCCAGACATTTGGCTCGACCGCCCTCCACTCGCTGACACCAGAAACCTTTGCTGTCATCATACCTGCAAAGACAACGCATGTTTTTTGACGCCACAGCAAACACACCCCACATAGGCTATACATTTTTACATGCTTCTGTGTAAGGCAAGTCAGAAAAGAAAGTGACTTTTGTATATGTTTATATGTAGGAGTGTTACGAACATTAAAGCCTGGGTGTAGTTGAAGATGGGGGTGACACCAAGGAATCTCTGTATTCCCTCCATCACCAGTACTGGGTTGGACCGCAGCAGCGCCCCATCAACAATGTGTAGCTAAGCACAATTATAGAGAAAGAGTGTCAGCAACGCCTGAGAGAACTACAACCATCTTCCAATGTATTCGCAGCAGCCACTGAATGCGCATGTTAGCAGCTGCAGTGTGTGTTACCTGGCTGGCTTGGTAATGTTGCAGCCAGCGGTCCAGGTGGATAGCATATGCCCCAGGATTAAGGCAGTGTCTCTGAAGGGCCAGCAGATCCCTGGGGGCTGAGGCGCCCGCTGTAACTACTTCATGGAAAGTGTGGTTAAGGGCTACAGGGTCCTGATGAGCCCTCTGGTGCTGTAGTTAACGAAACACACACAAACACTAAAGAGGGTTTGAAATGCTATAAAAACGCCTTTGCAGCCTCACTGTGAGCATTCTCACCTGGTACCAGGAGTAGGCTCTGTCAGCCGGGTTAATGAGCACTGCCAGGATCTTGGCCCTGGGGAGCAGGGCCGCAGCTCTTTTAGGGGCTACTTCTGTGTCAAAGTAGTTGGCACTCTTTTCAAACATGAAGTCTGTGCTGACATTGGAAGGGAATGGGAAGAAGTCCATGTACCTGGGGAGGACACACGCACACCATTACACAACTGTACTGAGGTGAAATGTGTTTTTTTTTTAAGAAATATTTTTAAACTGAGCAGCTTTTACAGTTGTGTGTTGCTTCTTAATATAAAAGTGTCCAATTTATAAGACAACACAACGTCTTTGTGTGGAATCGGTTTTCCTGCTCTCGTTTGCCGTTTTAGCTGTTTGGTGGTTGTTGAAATAGTTTTGTCTTTAACCCGAGATTCTGGCGTTTCTGGCTAAATACATTTATATTTAAAAATCGATTTGAATCGGTAAATCGATTATTGAAACCAACTCCTAGTGTGTGGGGCTGTACCCTGTAGGTTTATATTGTTAGACAGTAACATTACTTATTAAGAAAAGTGTTCTGTGTAATGTGTGTAATAATTACTTTGAGTAACTTTGAGTACTTTGAGTAGGTTTATATCTGGGACTCTCCACCATTTGACCTTAGAACTGAAGAAGCTTCTCGGATGAGAGGTGAAACGTCTTCAAGCAACTTAAAGAAGTCCAGACGCTTTTCTTTGCAAGCTCCTTTGACTACGATGACCTGGATGACTGAGAACCTTCACAGACAATTACTTTGAGTAACGACGCAACAATGATCGCAACAAAGAGTGGAAATAGCTCCAACATGAGCAAACATTTGACCACTCAGCATGTAATTAATTTGCATGAATGCAATGTCTTTGACATGCTGCTTAGAGATGGTGCTGACTCAAAGCAATTCCCATCACTACTGTCATTCTGAATTTGATGGCAACAACGTGTTTTCAGCAGCTGGACAGTGTATCAACGCCTCTTCTTTTAACTTCTGTGACTGAAGGAGAGCAGTTACTGGGCTTTAGAGAGAGGAATGTTGTTGTGTTCTTTTGGTTTAATCTGGCTCCAAATGTTTTTCTTAACTGTAAGCAGCTGTCTCAGTCATCCTCTTCCTCCAGCTCTGAACTAAGCTGGGTTGCTCTCGCCCAGTGTTCTGTACTGTGATTTATTAACCATCTAAATACACAAAGGACTTTGCAAATGACTCTTCTGAGTTATTGGCTGAAATCATGCCTAAATATAATAAAGCTCTAATGATTAGAGATTTTAATGTACATGTGCGCTGGCTTGACAGCATTAACTGACTCGCTAACTTCACGCAGTGGTTGTCCGGACCCACAGAAGAACATGAACACAGACTGGAGCTCATTTTATCTCACGATGTGTCTGTTTCAAACAGTGTTTTCAGATCACACGTCTGTTTTTTGCATTCACTGCTGCGCTTTTCTCTGCTTACTTTGATCAGAACTTTAGGGCTCAGCTTCTAGTTTTATTCCACCTGCCAAACGATATCAGAGTCAGTGTCTCCATTCAAAACCAGACAGTCTAAAACGAATCCCACCTGGATTCTTTAATTCTTTCTGTTTTAGGCACATTTGTTCTTGTTGTTTTTAACACTAGCCTTTTCCTCAAGGGTGGTTCCTAAAAGCTTTAAAACAACCACAGATGGAAAAAACCTGGCCTGGATCCCAGTGTGTTATCCAACTTCGGGTCCATTTCCAATCTTTCTTTTCTTTTAAAAATTCTCTAGATAAATGTTTATAGCAAATTGAAGGCCCTTTAAATAAAAAATAAAATAAAATAAATTTAATTAAATAAAAAAAAAACCAAACATCCTTGGCTTGTTTTAGTCTGGTTTGAAGTCTCTTCATGGAGCAGAATCAGTACCGCTGACGGGCCACTGCTCACTGTTGGTCCACAACAGTGATGGCTAAGACGGGTCTCTTACCGGGACCATGTCACCTATGAAGAAGACCACTGCCGGACCGCCACATGTCCCCTCCATGACATTCTACCCCAACTCCCGTGCCGACTGCACAAGATCACCACCACATGGAACCCACCCCACAGAAGACGCAAACCAGGCTGCCCCCGTACAACATGGCGGAGGACTTTCATTGATGATTTACGCGCCTGGGATGAGGCCGAAGCAACCGCAGCTGATCGATTACGCTGGCAGAGATCTGCCACCCAATGCGCTGAACGGTGCAGGAGGACCGAACTCTAAGTATTGTGTTTGGTCCTGGTGGGCACAGTATCTAAGGCCTCCAGTCACAAACCTGGGTTTTATGATGGACAGTTAGATTGGACAGTCAAATAACTGCAGTGGTGAAATCCAGCTTCTTTCAGCTGAAACAAGTGGCAAAAATAGAAAAACTGTTGAAAGATCACTTTGAAACAGTAATCCATGCCTTTATCACAACTCTGGATTGGATTACTGCAACTTATGTAGGTGTTAGCCAGTCCTTCCTGCCTCGTCTTCAGCTGGTGCAAAAGTATGACTTAACTGGAAAACAGCAAATTACTTCTGTTTTATACTCACTCCACTGGCTGCCCGCCCATTTTAGTGTTCATTTTTAAATTCTTTTATTTCTTTCCTCTGAGATGTGCCTTGCCCATCTCAGAACTGTTGCACTTGCACTGTCCTTCCCGATTGCTCTTGGATGTGCCGAGGGCACAAGGCTTTTGCCGTAGCAGCTCCCAAATTGGCATTAGACAGGCCTCTGCACTGTCCAATTTTAAGATCCACCGCTTCTGTTTGTTGTTCGATCTAGTTTGCACTAGACTTGTAGTCAAGACTGCCTAATCCGAGACCAAGACAAGACCAAGACCAGAGGGTATAGAGACCAAGACAAGACCAAGACCAGAGGGTATCGAGACCAAGACAAGACCAAGACCAAGACCAAGTTGAGACGAGACCAAGACCGAGACCGAGTCGAGACGAGACCAAGACCAAGACCAAGACCGAGACAAAAAAAGTCTTTAAACTGCAGCCAGATGCTATTCTATATACATATTCAGGACACCTTAAACTAGTTTTTTAATTAAGCAGCAAGGCAGAACAAAGTCGGGCCTGTATCAAGACACAGGGACTAAACCCCAATTCAACCAGACCCAAAACTGATCTGGAATTAAAACAGGACTACAACAGTAACCAAGACAGAACCAGAATCAGAACTAGATGATAGTAGCACTAAAATCATCATAGACCTGCACTACACTTATTTTTTAATTCTACCAAAGTACAATATTTAGATTGAGAAAAGTTTATATAATTATTTAGCCTCGTTGTGCAAACAAGCCTGCATAACTTAATAAATATAGAATTTGAAAAGTAACAAATGGTATCTAAAAAGAAACACTAGGTACTAGATACATGTTCTGATGAGTTTTGGCAAACAACCATTTGACTAACATGTGTGTCTCACCTGCTCTTGTTCCCTCTCTGCTCCTCTCTCTCCCTCTTTGTGCTGACAATCAAGCCAAACACCAACATCATCAAATATACAGTTGAAACCAGATATTTATGTACTCTTCAGATAAAAACACAAACACTTTTTTAATTGTAACATCAAATCACATGGACTCTACTAACCTATCAGAAGCTTCTTTAGCTCAGAATGGAATCGTCTGGAGTTTTCTTATTAATTAACAATAAACTTAGTGTATATGTACTCCTAAATTTGATGAAAGTGATTAAAATAGACAGCTCCCTCTTTTTATTCTGACATTTAACTAATTCAAAAGATATTTCAACATTTATTTATCTAAAACAAAAGTTTACTCTAAATTGATGTTTAACAGTAAAAAAAGTTTTTATGTTTTCTCCATAAAGTGTATGTAAATATCTGGTTTCAACTGTGAATATACTGCTGTGTATTGAAATTCCTCTTGTTTTGCATAGATATACTGAACAACATCCAAAGCATAATATATAAAATAACATCTACCTGAGTTTTTTCTTTGAAAGAAGCTCCTTATGTCCATTGTTGTGTTCATCAGTACACAACTGAAACCGATTTAGAGAGTTTGTTTAGCCGTGGAGGGTAACAACTGAAAATATGAAATGTAAGCTAAGACTAAAAAATCAGCATTGCTGTTCGGCTTTTTATTTATCCATTTGTTGATTCACTCGAAGAGCAAGTAACGCAACCAAGTGATCAGTTTGATATCAATCTTTTGTGATACACCGTCATATTTACATTATTAGTTCAGTACGAATGATTTGCTTTGGTACCTGGTCAAACTTAAGCTCTCCTCTGTCTGCAGCAAATTCTCCCCCCTCGCTCACATGGGTGCTGCGCTCAGTCGCCTAGTGCCTGAGCTCGGATCATACCAAAATTAGGGGGAATTTACGACGGTGCGCTCTGTGCTTCGTGTGTTGTTTTTGGGCTTAAGCCCAGTAAGCCACCCCCCACTCCGCTGATGGTTGACTCCAAATCTCCCGAACACTATGTCGATTTGAGAACGCAAGACCGAAACAGCGAGACCAAGACCGAGACCAAGACAAAAGTCCGTCGAGACCAAGACGAGACCAAGACAAAAGTCCGTCGAGACCAAGACGAGACCAAGACCACGTAAAAGTGGTCTCGAGACCGGTCTTGGTCTCGAGACCGGTCTCGAGACATCCAACTCTAGTTTGCACATCATCAGGATGGGAGCGAATGTTCCCCCAATAATAAACCAAAGGGTCCCTCTCCTCATAAGTCTGGGGAATACTGTATATCCAGGTTTTCCAAAAAGACTTTCAATTTTGGATTGATCTGACTTCAGAACGGTTTTCCATTTTGCCTCAGTCCATTTCCCCATCCATCCATCTTCTGCTTCTGCAACAAACTAACAAAGCTGCTGTCTGTTAAAGACCAAACAGGGAATGTCATACTAAAATGAAAATGGACAGCAGATTATTTCAAAAAAAGTAATGTGGGACATTTACGCATTTACATTTATGCACACAAGTCATGGCAGCGCTGCACAGATCCAGACTTTCCTTTAAGGCTCTGTACACAGTGAACAGGGTGTGTATGTGTTTTTACCAGTCAATCCCATTGTGATAGTTTGCGCCACTGAAGAACTGGATCTCCTCAAAGGTGGTAGGGCTGGGGAAGGAGCTGGTGATTGCTGGGTGGATGCTCAGGAATGAATGAAGTGCTGTAGTACCTTTGAGCAAACAAGACAATTAAAATAATCAAAACAGAGAATTAAATAAGACAGATGAGAGGAATCTATACCTGTTTTTTGTGGTCCAATGATGAGAAACTTTGGCAATCTGTCACAGGTCTTCTCTTTAGACCAGATATCTTTGTGTCTCTTATCATGGCAAGGGTTCTGAAAAAAGAAAAAATCCACACAGTGTGTCATCTTCCATGACGGGTGAAAGTTACATTTACATTTTACATTACAGATATTATACACGTTACATTTTTAAATAAATAAAAGGGACATGAATGGTTTTGTTTATCATTTCGTCACATACTCCCACATCACCCAAATCTTGAAGTAGGCATTTCAATTTCCAAATTGTACAAAAGATGGGGGAAAAGGGTAGGTAAGGTAGATTTTAGATGTAATACTTAAACTTTTAAGATTAGAAATCATGAATGAATTTAAATTTTACATATTACACACCGTAGTCAGGGAAAAAAATCCACTGATCAGGTTATTAGCAAAGGTGCAATTAATGTGTATTTACAAAAACCCCACAAACCCCTAAACTAGATGCTTTAACTATAATTATACATTCACTGTTTTTCCTTACATCAAACTCCTTGTGCATAGAATTACTGCACTTATCATGAATCTGGCACTTATGCCTTTTTTACCTATTAACTTAAAAGAAAATGCATGAAGACTTTTTCATTTCTAAAATAAAACAATACAATAAAATGTATGTAAAACAATAAAATAATATAATAACAATAAAAAAAACACTCTTTGTTGTGAAGCTGTCTTTTAACTGTTGCTTTATTTAATGATTTATAGTGATTAGGTGACTGTGTATACAGTGAAGTGAAAACAGAAACTGGATTTCTCAAGTTTTAAAAATAACCACATGAATCAACCCACCTGCCAGAGCGGGTCTCTCTCATCAGGAAAGATTTGGAAATACCTCTCGGCAAGCTGGACTGGTGGTAACGTTTGCAGCCTGAGGTTGGTCCAGCACTGGACAAACTTCACCAAAGACTCAAATGTATACAGACCCAGACGATCGTTGCCATAGTTAGACAGATGGGTCATGAAGATACTGATCTGGATTGAGAAAGTTAAAAATATGTTATAACACTGCCATCCTAAGGTTTTATTTTAATTTCATTTTTAATTGTGTGTGTGTGTGTGTTCACTTTTTATTACATGTTAGCATTTTATGTTACTTAAATTCTTTTTACACCATGTGAGAAAGTATTCAATAATTTCATTATATTTGAATAATGACAATAAAGAAAGAAAGCTGACAAACTTTTCCAACTTTAAATTTTACTTTTTCCCTCGAATTTCAAATTTTGATTAAAATGTTTGACATTGGGAATTTACTATCACACACTGCATGTTATATCCACTAAATTTCTCCATTATCCCCTTATTCTCGTGTCTTAACCATCTTGTTTATTTTGTTAATATCATTAATCTTTCTCATCCTATTTTGTCTTAGTAGAAGAAAAAACCTTAAGTAAATGATAAGCAATGGTTAAGTCTGCAACTTCTTAGTTAGAAGAGCTTGGTGCTTGGTTTTTGGGAGCCATTTTTGTTGGGGGGGGTCACTGCCAAGAACCTTACACATCTACTCAATCTTCTTTTTCCTGTTCTGGACTAACACGCATCTGTTGTTTAATTGTTTGTTCTATCATTTAAGGTGAGTGTGCACAATGTCTGTGCTCTAGGAATCAGATTAGTCAGCATTTAAACTTTCTAAGCTGGAATGTTAAAGGTTTAAATCATCCAGTCAAGACAGTGAAAGCTTTCTTCCATGTTATTAAGCACCATAACAGTGATGTGGCTTTCCTGCAGGAGACCCACATCAGGGGGTTTTACAATGCCGTCTCTTTTCACGGTGGAGGGGCCAGTGCTTTTCCAGGTTAAAGGACAAGTGATTTCTATACTGATCAGCCAGAGCATTCCCTTTGAGGCAGTCCAATGTTGTAGCAGACAAACAATAAACATTAAATCTGCTTTCAGGGTATAAACTGAACCTCAATAAAAGTAAGCTTTTCCTCTTAAGTAGTAAAGCAAGTTTGTTAGACTTCACTAACTTGCCCTTAAGGGTTAAAAAAAACAAAACAAAACAAAAAAACCCCTTAAAAACAACAACAACAAACAAACACACACAGGCACCAAAAAACAAACAAACAAGAATTTGATTACACTGCTAAACCAATTGAAGCAGTCCTTCACCCACTGGACACCATTTTCTAAGGACGTTATTAAAAATGACTATTTTACCCCAATTTTTAAATTTATTTATTTATTTTTATATCTCTTCCGGGCTCTACCCATTTTTATTTCTAAGATTTTTTTTCCAATGTGTTGCATTCTGTTTTGTCACCTCACACATGGGAAGGTAAACACCCAAGACCAATCTTCAAAAGCCTAAAACTGAAGGGGGGGCTTCAACACTTCAACAATTTTTGTTTTTATTATTGGGCCGCTAACATGAGATGTCTGGTGTTTTTGTACTTGTACCTCACTCAGAGTGGCTATTCTGACTGGGTGACTATGGAACTACACAGCAACAACAGTACATCTTTTCTGGCTGTACTTGGTTCTCCACTTTCAACTCTGTGGTGAAACACTCATTGGAAATATGGGGCAAGTTTAGGAAATACTTTAACCTCGACCTTTAAGTTGAGCTCACTGAGACACAAACTCGTCCGAGATTTTTAGCATATGCACTTACGGTATCAATTTGAACCTGCTACATCACCTTGGTCTTTAGTTATTGCAATGACAAGAGTTTCAGAAAACTTGACCTCTGATCTTCACCTTGAGGTCAAGGTCACTAAGAGGGGGTGGAAGTGACACCCACTCTTAGTGGGCGGGGTAGAAAGAGTGGGGTAAAAATGACAACACTTTTAATTTTACAGGGTGAGTCCATCTGAAATCAACCAAGCCTTTTGCGTGTCCAAGTTGCATAAAATCTAGATGGTAGAAAATGTGAACATTTACAATGATTGCTGTCAAAAACATTTTCATGTTAAAAAACAGACCATTTTAAAAAAAATATACATCTTGAAAACTATTTGAAAAATGAATCTGAAATTTCACAGCACTCATTATAGATGTCCAAACTTTGGACTCTAAAATTTGTATGCAAATTGGAGGTCGAGCAGGACATTTTCTAAAACTTGACTGAAGATGGAATGACCTTTGTGTAAAGCCAGGCCAAATCTTCAGACACTCAAGTCTCATGTAAAGTTGACACGTGTGAAACATGAGTGCTAGACAGTCTCAAGCCAACAGCTGTAGTGTGCATGGAGGTTTTCTTACAGGGTTTAGGAGGACGGTGAGGAATAGCTCTCCCCCTCTGATGCTCTTGTCCAGCTCTTTTGAACCTCCTGGGTATTCATTATAGAAGATTGTATGGGTGAATAGACCACAAGTTTGTCTGGGCAATACCTGAAATGAACAAATAGGGCATTAAATATTGGGGATATATACATAATTTCCTTAGGGATTAATAAAGTATTCTGATTGGTCAATCATCTAGGTAAGGAAACCCCAAAAAGTTGATTCTGTTCCTCTGTGTTCTCAGCATCATGTGTTTTTAGTGGGAAACTTTTTCACTTATCCAAGTGTAGCCACAGCTGCTCCTTTCACATAAATGGCCAACTGCAAGCAATGGAGGTCATTTATTGAAAATTGAAATTTATAAGAGACGTCTCCACCCTCAATAACAGGACCAACCTCAACACTGACCAAGTATGTCTTGCTCTTGTAATTTTATCTTATCTATATTTCAAATATAGGAGTTAGAGCAGGGAGATATGGCCAAAAATATTTAT